ATCTTGCTTAACCTCTTCAAAAAAAAAAAAAAAAAAAAAAGAATTTAAATTAGGGGCCTTGCCTATAATAAGAATTATTATCAGAGATAACTTTTTCTGACCTATCTGTAGGGCAGGGACATTACTAAATTACTGAATGTGATGAAATTACATTCCATCTGCTCTTCTTATTGTCCCCTTTGAATCCCCAAGGTGCCTTACCTCACCCTTAGTTTGAAATGCTATATATACCTCATTTTAACTTTCTATCTCTGACTCTCTAATGTATGTGGGGTTCCCACACTTACGTATGTAATTAAATTGGGTTATTTTCTCTTATTAATCTGTCTCATGTTGACTTGATTATTAGACCAGTCAGAAGAATCTGGACAAGAAGAGGAAAGTTATTTTCCTCCCCAACATGAGCAAGATCTAATATGGTTGAGTGGTAGGGGCTGAAGTCAGGCTAGAGTGAGGTGAGGAGTGTGTGGGAGGTGATGAAATAGAGATGATGCAAGTAGGAAACTCCTTCAAGAATATGGAGGTAAAGGTCAGAAGATGGGGGGAGCAAGGAAGGAGACGTGTGGTCAAGAACGACCTGAATGTAAGATAACAAGATGAGGAGTATTTAAATGTGGCAAAAACAAGATGATGGAGTTACAGAGAGGCAACAAATGTGAGTAACAGAGAGCTCAGCTTCTGAGTCCAGACCACTTGGGTTCAATTCTTACTCCTCTGTCTGCTGCCTGGGTGGCTTTGGGTGAGGTATTTGGCCTCTTTATGCCTCAGTTTCCTCATCTGTAAAATGGGGGGAGGGTGAAACTACCGATGGGAGCATTAAGTAAGGGAATGTATGGAAAAGACTGAGGTTGGAAGCAGGATCCCAAAGCCCCACTGACCATCTTCACCCCCTTACCTGAGCTTTGCCCTTAGAGACTACTCTCTTTTAATTCCAGCAACTACCAGACAATTCTTGACTCAAAGGGGGGTGTTGGTGATGATAAACTATTTCTAAAGTTAGAAATAAAGTACCAACAGAATGTGAACAAAAGTCATAAACTAGAAAGCATGACTCACAATAGCCTCAAGCATGACTCACAAATACCCATCAACTGAAAAATCAAGAAATAAACTGGTATATTCAGACAATGAATACTATGCAGAAACAAGAATACATAATCCACAACTACACACAAGAATAAAGACAAAAGCAGCCAGATACAAAAAAGCAAATGCTGTTTGATTCCATTTATGTAAAAGACTAAATGGACAAATTAATCAATACTGTTAGAGATAAGGACAGGAATCCTCCTTTGGGGTGGATAGTGAATGGAAAGAGAAAGGGTTGGACAAAAGGGGATTTTCCCAGGAGGTGGCTTATATGTACACTTGACCTCTGAACAACGTGGGTTTGAACTGCGTGGGTCCACTTACACACGGATTTTTTTCAATAAATACTATAAACGTATTTTCTCTTCCTTACGATTTTCTTTATAACATTTTTTTTCTCTAGCTTACTTTATTGTAGGGATACAGCATATAATACATATAGCATACAAAATATGTGTTAATTGGATGTTTATGTAATCCATAGGGCTTCTGGTCAACAGTAGGCTATTAAAGTTTTGGGGAGTCAAAAGCTGTACACAGATTTTTACTGGGGTGGGGGGTGGTATGTGTGTGTGTCAATACCCCCTAACCTCCACATTATTCAAGGTTGAACTGTACTTTGATTTTTAAAAAGTTAAATAAAGAACATATTGGGAGAAAATACTGTTAGATACTCTCTACAACCATCTCTTGAATTCAAATTCCTTTATCAGGTCAGTGAAGTAAGCACATACAAAGCAACAATAGGTTTTTGCACTGTTCTTACAAAAGCAATAACCCCAAACTCTAGAAAAGGTTAGTTTAAGAGGCATATCTTTCAGAGGAAAGACTCTTGGGTCTTCTTAGAATTTGAGGTCTTTCATTTACTCAGAACATTCTGGATGGATAGCTTCCTGACTCAGCCTGGGTGTCCAAAACACCTCAGCCCCAGGGAGAGTCACTTTGTCAGCCCAGGCAGTGTTCCATGCTTGCTTGAAACATCATCTATCTGCCAAGAAGCTGCACTTATGCTCTCTACATTATGCTCGCCCAGAAACTAGTGGAGAGTCAATTGACTATCACTTCTCATCATTATCTAAATCCGTGAATACTTCAATGTTGGGTGGCAGCCACAGTCAGATCCGACTTCGTCTTGCCTGGCTCTAGACCCTGACCTTATTTTCCTCTCCGTTCAGCGTCTTTGCCTGAGTTTCTGACAGAATGATTTGCATGACCTAGCTCAGACCCTAATGTCGAGATGTTTACCAAATTTACTTCGAAACTGTGCCTTTAGCTTGTTGCCACCATACGGATTCTCTATGATTTGAGAAAAGGAAAACTAGGCTGGACAAGCCTCATGCTGCCTAGGACTTGACCTGAATGGCGGCCTCCTCCCCGGGCTTTGTTCCTGCCCCTGCTTGTTCCACATTTCTTCTTCTCGTCATACTTGGGCTCCTCTCTCTTTTCCCAGTTGTGTCCCCTAGTGTTCTGTTTGCACGTAGCCAACTTTGATACTGCAGGGTTAAAGATTACCCTTTCTCTTTTTCCCCCATCTACCCAACTAAATGCCCCTTGGAACTAGAAATAAAACAACCCAAAGTCAGCTAAGTTGTAGGTATCAATCATCAAAAATGAAGGCTACTAATAGATTCCATCTAATTTTGATAATTTGCTCAGGAAACAATTATTTTCAAATTGATCTGTCCTTATTTTCAATTCTATTCCATAAATTAGCAAATGGAAATTCAGTAATCTCAGAGTAAATTCAATATCTTTCCTTAATTTTTTCAAATGGGGAGAAAGCAGCTAAATAGTGTTTCATTTTGTCCTGAAAAACCAAGACCTGTGTCCAAAAAATTCTCATTAAAATATAAATAAAAAACTATAAAAATAATATACTGCACATATCTTTCTTTGTAAACACACAGTGAAATATGCTTATCAGAGCTGCTTCAAGTGAAGAGTTTTAAAAGGCTTTCCAGGATATTCTACTGGAATTAGCAGGGAGAGAGAAGCTGGGTATTAGAAAATCAAAAGTAAAGTGGTTATGTTCATCTATGTTAAGGAGTTTATCTAGCCTAGACTGCAATAATCCCCTCAATAACACAATGGTGAAGGATTCCAGAATTTCACAATTGAAAATGTAGGGCTCAATTATATTATCATTGTTATACACACCCCTCTTTGTCAACTCTTAGAAACAAAGCCAATCCAAGCTAATGCGGTCACAGATAGTGTTCTAAAAGTTTGATCCCTTCCCAGTAACAAGCATCATCCAGAAAATTGTTAGAAATGAAAATTTCAGAACCATCGGAGATCCACAGAATCAAAACTCTGGGTGGGGGTGGGGGTGGGGGGGCGATGCCCAGCAACCTATATTTTAACAAGCCTTCTAGGTAATTCTGATGTATGCTCAAATTTGACTGTCACCACTCGAATTCATCTTCCCCTAACACACAGAAACATCAGGTGCCCCTACTTTTGTGTAAAGTCATGCTGGTGTCTCTCCTCTTTGTCCCATTAGCCCACCCTGGGTATGAGATATCATTCTCTACCATCAGGGGTACCTAAACCCTGTAGCCTGTGAGGAACCTGGGCCGCACAGCAGAAGGTGACCAGCAGGCTGGCCAGGAAGCTAAGCTTCATCTGTATTTGCAGCTTCTCCCCAGGGCTAGCATTACTCAGCTCTACCTCAGATCATCAGGCATTAGATTCTCATAGGAGCACCGGTCCCTGGTGCCAAAAAGGTTGAGGACCGCTGACTTTTACAACTTCCACCCTCTTCACTTTGGAGGCCATCAGGCTTTCCAGAGAAAAATTACATATCCAATCCTCTCTTCCCTCTAGATATGGCTATGCAAATAATTAGTTTGGACCAAGAGTACATGAATGGAAGTGATGCATTCAACTTCTAATTATATATTAAAAAAAAAAGAAAAAAGAAAAAGAAATGGTTGCCTTCTTCCTTCTCTTCCCCACTCCCCAAGTGGAATGCCAACACGGTGGTTATTTGGCTATGAGGATGAGTACCACATTGTTCTGGTGGAGAAACAAGACAGAAGAAACCTGGGTCCTCGGATGCTCCTTCGTCAGACCTGCCTCAAGGACCTAACCTTCTCTTGGACTGTTATGTGAGAAACAAACACAGTGTGATTTTGTTTGAGTTACTATGTTTCTCTTTTTACAATCTAGCCTGTACCTTCCTTAGAGCTCTGACACAGCTTCCTGCCTAGAACTTCAATCCTGTTTCCTTTCCTAAGGCTGAGATTTCACACAATCATTCTCATAAGTGAACCTTTTATACATATTCCCATTCAAGACTGTTGCCACTTTACATAAGGACTTCTACTTCCATTGACAATGGGCTAGGTAATTTGGACCAACTTTCCTACTGAGGACCTCTACAAAAGCCAGGCAAATGTACTTAATTTTTTAAAAAATACTGAAAGACATCGAAGAGGTAGCAAGGCAGTTAAAATAATCTAAGATAATAGAAAAGAGGAAGACCCAAAGAGGTACATATGGGCTTGCTTTTTCCCTGGGCATTTGCCAATTCTAGAAGAAACAACTGAGAGTCTGACAGCCTTGAAAGAGTTAAGGGAATAAAAAAGAGAGTCAAAGCCCACTAAGTATGGGAGAGAGGTGCTGCTAATCCTCAATATAGCCTATGGTATATTTCACAAAAACATCATCAAACTTCTAAATAAAGACTCTAAACACTTCTAATATTAAACATCAAAATAAATGTGAGCAATACAGGCATTTAAGAGAGATTAATTAAAAACAAGTAAGAATTATTTTCCAGCCTATTTATTCCAGTTCAGGGTGGCAAGCAGCTGAAGCCTCTCCCAGCAGCTCAGGGCGCCAGGCAAGAACCACCCTGGACAGATAGGATGCCCGTCCATCACAGGGTGGACTGAGATGCCCTGTGATGGACGGGCATCCTCAGACACCTTCAGGCTGGGACAATGTAGAGATGCCCATTCACCTCAATTCTGTGGTTCAGCTGTGCAGTTCTTTCATCTGGGCCAGCTGGTTCCTCCCGTGGCCAGCAGGTGGATTGGCTAGAGCTCTCATTCACATTTGGCAGGTTGGCAGACTGGTGGGTGCAAGGGCGCTCAGCTACACAGTCTCACATTCTCCAGGTGACTAGCCCAGGCTTCTCCACATGGTGACCTCAGGGTTCCCGGCAGCAAAAGCAGACAAGCCCCCCAATGCGAAGGTGCTTTTGGGCTTCCTCTTACATCATGTTTGCTAATGCCCCATTGGCCAAAGAAAATCACATGACCAAACCCAGATTCAAGGAGCGGAGAAGTGGACTCCACCTCTTGAAAGAAAGTAGCCAAGTTATGCAAAGGAGTATAGCTACAGGCAGGGGAGGAATTTGGAGCCATCCATTCATTCTAGCAGACTTCCTGAGGGCATGTACGAGGCACCTGGGAATTCCTAGGGATGTCTCTTTTCAAAGCCATATCACCTGGTCAGATGGGCAAGTAGCTCCAATGTCTAGGGAAAAAGCACACCCCCTTTCAGGTACTTTGTGCCCTGGATGTTTAAGGGAAAAGCTCCTTCTTCAAGTGTCAGACCTAGGAAGAGAAGGCAGACAGGAGTTCTGGGTCTGAGAAGTGGTAGATACCGGGACCTGGTCTGGGGACGCTATGATGGGAACAGAAGGGCCTAACTATTGTATCTTTGTGGACCCAAGAGAGGGGCTTAGTAACCAGCAAGTAGATTATTCTCTCTGGAAAGCCCAGGGTGGCAGTCTCTGCAGGTGAGTTAATTAAAAACTTAAATGATTAACCGGGAAAATGACTGTGACTATTTTCACACCAAGTTTATGGAAAAGTTTATGTTAATTATATGCATTTTAGTTAATACTTAATCATTAATACTTGTTCTGTGTTTATGTCATGAAATTTGACAAGCTGTACATATACAATCTGTACACTTTCTAAGTGTATATTTTAATAAGAAGTTTGTATTTTTAAAAATTGCCCCAAGTTAATCATAATAGCGTCAAGGATACCTGGAATTTTTGCAGGATTCTGAAGATAACCTTGCCCTGGGAACTAGGTCACTTGAGTTCCAGTCCACAAGCTGCCACCAACTAGTTCTGGGCTGAGATAAACCACCAAGCATCTCTGAGCCAGAGTTGTTCACCTGTGAAGTGAGGGGTTATATTAAATTATACGTAACACCCATTTACTTTAATGTAGTCCATCTACTTTTCTTAACTACTAGACCCTCAGGGCACATTGGAGGACAAGAGTGATACCTTTCCTGCCCTTATGGGACTTACAGCTAGTAAGTACACATAGCAGACACTGCCTGTGATCTGTGCTATCTCTGAAAGAGCTGGCAAAGAGCCAGGGGAGTGTCAGAGGTGCCTCCGGGAAATCATAAAGGATGAGTGGATGTTAGCCAGGGGTGGCACAGGGAAGAGCACACAGGTAGTAGGAACAGCACGCTACAAGTCCCGAGGGGAGAGAAGATGTGGTGGATTTAAGAAACACAAAGATTTTCAGTAGGACCTGATCATAGAAGTAGGAGGTAAGAGTCTTACAAGACACAGCTGGAGAAGTAGGGGCCAGCAGCTTACTAAGCCAGCCTACATCTGAACCCTTGCTGACCGATTCGCTGAAAGAAATCATTAATGGGACAGGGTTAACAGATAAACACCACCCAAGCTCCTGAAACACATTCAAAGGATCTCTCCTGTACTAACAGGCTATATGCCTTACTCTCCCCATTAAACACACGCTAAGAAATAAAGCAAGATTTTTAACCCCATGCCAAGTTACTCTTGCATGTGCAAAGCCTGGTACATTACCAACACTTACTTGAGTAAAAGTATGAAATAAAAACTGCAATCCAGAAAATAAAGGGGAAACCAGTGCTATCTCTCCTGCTCATAGATATTGTACCTCTATAAATTTCCCATACGTAACATTCATATAGGGTAGCCGTCGTTTGTTAAGTAGCTTATATTGCTAAAAACTGCTGGGACAGGAAAAACCTGAAAAGCAGAGAAGAGTCTTTGCTGATTCAGCAAAGAGTTTACAATCGAGCTGCCTCTTCCTCTTCAGCCTATAAAGACACTTGGGTATTTATATCTAAGCCCATTAAATCTCTCTTTTCTTAACCTCACATTTATTTTTCTGATCTCTGACAAGTTTTGAAAGGATTATCTACATGGCTGCCTCCAACCACAAACTTTTATTGCCTTCTATTTGCAAGACAATGGACAATCAAAAATGTAAATAGATAATGCAATATTTACAATGTGTCAGGAGCTGTTCTAAGTTATTACATATATTAACTCATTGAACCCACATGACCAGCCTATAAAACTGGTACAAAGAATATTAGTTTTTGGTACCACTTCAAAGAAGTGGCTTTTAGGCCACTTCATGGGCTTGTCAGGAAGTGTCAATGTTTTCCCATATTATAAGTGTGGATACTGAGGTACAAAGAACCTGGGTATATTATAAGTGTGGATACTGAGGTACAGAGAACCTGGGTATCTTAGCTAGATCACGGGGTACAGCAGGGAAACCAGAGCAGGTGCATTGCTGCCAGGGGCACTCCCCTGACAGGCAGCTTTGGCTCAGGGTCTCCCTAACAGCTTTGCCGCACTTCCATAGAACAGCACTGATAGCTTACACTCTTCCAACAAAACTGCCCTCCCTTCCTTCCTTCCTTCCTCTCTCCTTCCCTCTTCCTTCCTCCCTTCCTTCCTTCCTCCCTACCTTTTTCTTCCTCCCTCCCTCCCTCCCTCCCTCCCTTCCTTCCTTCCTTCCTTCCTTCCTCCCTCCCTTCCTCCCTTCCTCTCTTCCTCCCTTTCCTTTTTCCCCTT